ATCGTGGCCCATTGTGCTAGGGGCTGCACATTATGTATTACGTGTATTACAGTAGCCCCTAGGCACCCATCGTGGCCCATTGTGCTAGGGGCTGCACATTATGTATTACGTGTATTACGGTAGCACCTAGGCCCCCATCGTGGCCCATTGTGCTAGGGGCTGCACATTATCTATTAGGTGTATTACGGTAGCACCTAGGCCCCCATCGTGGCCCATTGTGCTAGGGGCTGCACATTATGTATTACGTGTATTACGGTAGCACCTAGGCACCCATCATGGCCCATTGTGCTAGGGGCTGCACATTATGTATTACGTGTATTACGGTAGCCCCTAGGCCCCCATCGTGGCCCATTGTGCTAGGGGCTGCACATTATGTATTACGTGTATTACGGTAGCACCTAGGCCCCCATCGTGGCCCATTGTGCTAGGGGCTGCACATTATCTATTAGGTGTATTACAGTAGCACCTAGGCCCCCATCGTGGCCCATTGTGCTAGGGGCTGCACATTATGTATTACGTGTATTACGGTAGCACCTAGGAACCCATCGTGGCCCATTGTGCTAGGGGCTGCACATTATGTATTACGTGTATTACGGTAGCACCTAGGACCCCATGGCTGTACAAGGTGCTGTGCAAACCCTGAACAGAGCAACAGTCAAGAAAAGCCCCAGATAAGAAAGGGTTAACACAGGGGAAACACACCGGGGCTCCATGCTGCAGCCCAGCTCTGAAATGTCCTGGCACACTGCCCAATCCGGACCACCCACCCTGCCCAGAGGGGCCCCCGATTCACCCCCCCCCCCCAGAGCCAAGCTCCCATGAGAAGCTGCCAGAGTGCCTGGCTTCCAACCTGCTCCCCCTCTCACCACCAACCCACAGGGACCAGGCCTCTGAAACCCGCCTCCTCGCCCAGCCCTGGTGAGCCCCACTCACCGTGAGCAGGTTCTGTTGCCAGTTCATGAACCCGTGAAGGCCGTTGGCTTGTTTGATGAGCTCAGGCCCCTGAGGTGGGTTTAGAAGGGTGGGAAAAAGCTTGGTTAGAAATTTGAACACAGGCCCAAGGATTCTCCAGAAATCAGAACTCCAGAAGCACCAGCTAACCCCCCCCCCCCGCAAAAAACAACAACAACAAAGAACAGGCTTTTACATCCACCCGACAGACTACGCCGAGATTGCAGGGACAGGGACACTCACTGACCTCATGACCACGTGGCAGGTGAGCAGGGAGGGTCAGACAACCACAAGCCTCACTCATAGCCAGGTGGAAAAGTGTGGGGGGAATTAGACCCCTGGGTGGGGGGGGCGGTTGCGCACCGGCCTCACGCCCGAGGGGGGGGGGGGGGGCGGTCGCGCACCGGCCTCACGCCCGAGGGGGGGGGGGGGGCGGTCGCGCACCGGCCTCACGCCCGAGGGGGGGGGGGGGGCGGTCGCGCACCGGCCTCATGCCCAGGTGGTAGGTGTTGCCCAGGCAGATGCGGCAGCCCAGCCCCTCCAGCTGCCGGGCCGTGATCCCCTTCATGGTGCCCTGCGTGCCCACGGGCATGAAGACCGGGCTGAGCACGGGGCCGTGCGGCAGCCGCAGCTCGCAGGCCCGGGCCTTGCTCAGCCCGCACTCGGCCACCACGCGCAGGGACAGCGCCGGGCCGCGGCTGCTGGGCGCCGCCATCTTGGCTGGGAGTCACGTGACGCCTCCCTAGGCGCCACCATCTTGGGCACGGTCACGTGATTCCGAGCCGCCCTCGTTGCCTGGGCAACGCGGGAGCGGGGGTCGCAGCGCAGCTGTCATGTTCAGGCTTCAGCCTCCCCACTAGGCCCGAGCCCCCTCGTGCCCCAGAGCGATACCCCCCCTCTGACCCAGGCCCCCTGCTCCTGCCCCGAGCCCCCTCGTGCCCCAGAGTGATACCCCCCCCTCTGACCCAGGCCCCCTGCTCCTGCCCCGAGCCCCCTCGTGCCCCAGAGTGATACCCCCCCCCTCTGACCCAGGCCCCCTGCTCCTGCCCCGAGCCCCCTCGTGCCCCAGAGTGATACCCCCCTCTGACCCAGGCCCCCTGCTCCTGCCCCGAGCCCCCTCGTGCCCCAGAGTGATACCCCCCCTCTGACCCAGGCCCCCTGCTCCTGCCCCGAGCCCCCTCGTGCCCCAGAGTGATACCCCCCCCTCTGACCCAGGCCCCCGCTCCTGCCCCGAGCCCCCTCGTGCCCCAGAGTGATACCCCCCCCCCCGACCCAGGCCCCCTGCTCCTGCCCCGAGCCCCCTCGTGCCCCAGAGCAGTACCCCCCCACTCTGCCCCAGGCCCCCTGCTCCTGCCCCCCCATGGCCCGAGCCCCCTCGTGCCCCAGAGTGATACCCCCCCCAGCTCTGGCCCAGGCCCCCTGCTCCTGCCCCCAAGGCCCAAGCCCCCTCGTGCCCCAGAGCAATACCCCCCCCCCACTCTGGCCCAGGCCCCCTCCTCCTGCCCCTCCATGGCCCGAGCCCCCTTGTGCCCCAGAGTGATCCCCGGCCCGCTCTGGCCGAGGTTCCTTGCTCCTGCCCCCCATGGCCTGAGCCCCCTCGTGCCCCAGAGCGATCCCCCCCCCCAGCTCTGGCCCAGGCCCCCTGCTCCTGCCCCCCATGGCCTGAGCCCCCTCGTGCCCCAGAGCAATACCCCCCTGCTCTGCCCCAGGTCCCCTGCTCCTGCCCCCCATGGCCCAAGCCCCCTCGTGCCCCAGAGCGATACCCCCCCGCTCTAGCCCAGGTCCCCTGCTCCTGCTCCTGCCCCCCAAGGGCCCAAGCCCCCTCATGCGCCAGAGCAAAACATCCCCCACTCTTGTTCCCCCCTGAGCATCCAAGCCCCCTTGTAGCCTAGAGCACAACACGTTTGCTCTAGCCCCCCAAAAGCAAGATACTGCCTTAGAGAGAAATCACCTCCCTAAACCTTATTAGAAAGCAGCTGGGGTTGGTTGGGGGGGCCTAATAAGGGGCAGATTGAATTAGGTGTGGCAAGGGTCAGGTGTGAGGAGTCAGGTTGCTGAGTGAGGGCGTCAAGGCTCCTCATATATAGGGCCAGGGGTGGCAGCTGCAGGTGTCTGTCAGGCAGGTGTAAAGGGAAAATAGCTGGGGGGGTAAGTAAGGTTTAGTTTTATTTTTGCTTGGGTGGCTAAGGTTTCTACGTAGGCTCTGCTGTGCCCCATAGAGGAGTGCAGGAATATTAGTCAGGTAGGGGGCTTAGTGGGGTAGGATTGGTGTTAGGGTATTTTTCTACAGCCCTAGGGTTATGGGTTTTTATTCCTGCTGTGAATAACTTCCAATACTGGGTGTAAGAGGAGGCCCATTTTGTGTGGACTGCAGCTAACTACAGGACTAAAACTTGGGGCAGCCCTTGCAATGAGGGATGTCTGCCTCTAATCCTTCCTAGAGGGAGATGGCTGGGTGTGTTAGTTATGACTGATGACCTTGTTGAGGTAGGGACTGTCCTGACAGGGAGGCTGGTGCTCTTCCTTAACCATGGCAGGTATCTGGCCCTGCAGCAAGGTGGGAATGGCATAGCCTCTGTGCCTACCTAGATCAGGAGGTGGTGAGCAAGAGCCCCAAGCGTGTACAATAAGGGAGGGTATTGGAAAGAGCCTGCCAACTTCTACTCTCCATCTTGTAACACAAGAGCATGGGGACAATTAAAATGCAAAGTGGCAAATTCAAGATGGATAAGAGGAAATACACTTCCAACTGCTGTATAATTAAACCGTGATATTTATTGTCCTAGGCTGTCATGGAAGCATTAAGTATTAGATGACTTTGGCAGGGTTCTCTGGAGTCCTTCTAGCCTGTACCTTTTGGTAAAGGTTTTCAGAAGGGCTCTAAACTTCATGATTTTCCTTCGCAGCAACTAGGTCTGGCTGCTGTTGGAGACTGGCTAGCGAGCTACATGGACCTGGGGCTGAGCCGATCTGGCAGCTCCTAGGTGTCTTTTCTTGTTAGTTGAAAAGTAATGGCCTGTTGATCTGTGTTTGTACAGTGCCTAGCACAATGGAGGCCAGGTCCATGGCTGGTGCTCTGAGGTGCTGCTGCAATAGAAATATGTGGTAATATAGGGGACTAGACAGTAAAGGCAAATGTGGCTTGGGGCGGGCTCTGCCTGCTGGCCTGGATATGGGGTGTGGTGTGAGTAGCAAACCTCTGGACAGATGAGCTTTGCAAGCAGAGGGGGCTGGGTGTTGTGCAGGAGGTGCAAACTCTGTTCATGCTGCATGAGCTCTGTTGCTAGAGCGGCTGAGCACCTCCAAGGAGACAAATCCAGCACCTTTCTCCCACCACCCTGAAAGGCACAGACTCCATAGCCCAGCTGTGCCAGGCTGCCGCCATGGCTCCAGAACAAAAAAGGTTCCCCCTGGCAGTGCTTTGAGTGTGTGTGGGGGGGTGCATTTCTAGGGAGGTTATGGCAAGAATGTGCTGCCCCTGTGTGCTAGAGGGCTCTGTGTGCTAGGTGCTAAGGATACCTAACGAGAGACTGAGAGCCTGACTGAACAAGGAACCCATTGCTCCCACTTCACAGATGGGGGAATGAAGGCACCCAGCTGATGTGAGGTGCTCAAGGGAGTCTATGGCAGAACCAGGAATCCAATCCAGCACCAGAGTTCCAGCCCAGCACCTCAAGCATGAGCTTTCCTCGTAGGCTGAGCTCTGGCCCTTCATGAATGGTTTCCTAGCAGGGCTCTGTCTCGAGTGCAGCAAGAATCCGTAGGAGAAGCCTGGCCCATTTACTGGTCTGAGCTCCCCTGCGTGGGCTCCCGAATGGAAACCAATCGAGGGCTGTCTCTGTAGCTAGCAAACAGCCAGCTGGGAAATCTGGGTAATAGATTTGATCTGGTGAGGGATTTAATTAGTTCTATCCAGAAAGCCGGAGGTGGGGAAAAGAGAAAAATAATTAGCTGCTGGCCCATCACTTATTTTTATGGGCTCCCTTGTCACCTCTGCAGTTCCATCGTTCTGCCTGTTTAGCTCCGGTAATACCTCTCTGCAGCCACAAGCAAAACCCCAATTGTTTTTCTTGTCCTTTCGGAACACTGTGTTCTCCCCTGCACAGCAATTCGGTCTCTGCCAAAGTGGTGCGTTTTCAAGTGAAACCATGGACTCTGGCTGACAAGTGGGTTAAATTGCCCACTGTGTGGGGCATCACGGACTCTCAGGTGATGGGGGTGGGGGGGGACGACAAGTCTTCTCCTTCTCCAGTGCTCAGTTATGCTCCTAGTCGCTGTGCAGCGTTGAATGTGTTGTACTGGCAGGAAGCAGGGCTACCTGCTCTGTGGAAGGAGAAAATATCAGGCAGCGAGTGCCAAAGGCAGGATGTGGGGCTAGCTGGACCAACGGTCTGACCTTGTCTGGCAGGTACAGGGCAGAGGAAAGCTGCCATGTGTCTATCGAACTGAGCTGCTGTGAAATACAAACCAGGTACAATCTGGCCAGGATCACAGAATCTGCAATTCTGCGACTACTAGGCAAAGTGGGGGTGGGGGTGTGAGCATGTAGCATTGGTGGAGGCCCTGCTCTGCAGGGTTATCAGTCTTGCTGAGTATGCAGAGAGAGGTAGCTCTTGACCCAGAAACCCTGAGCTGCGTTTCTGGAAGGGCTGAGCAATTAGGGAGCGAAGCTGCCAGAACACCAGGTGGGTGGGGGTGATGACCCCAGCTGGAGGCAGAGGGGACCAGGACACTGGAGATCTGGGTTCTAATCCCAGCTCTGCCACTGAGTCTGCGTGACCGTGGACAAGTCACGGAGCCTCTCTGGGCCTTGGTCCCCTCCAGTGGGGACATCCCTATGTAGACTGAGCTTGTTGGGGCAGGGTGTGACATGAGGGGGCCCTGATAGCTGTCTGAGCTCTTGGTGGTGTGACGGCATGCCCTGACACCTCTTCAGGCTGTGTAGGTGGCTAGCCCCATGTGTTGCTTTGGGGTCACTTGGGTAGGGCTGGAAACCAATTGCCGTGAGGGCTGCATGCCATCCTGAAGGCCTTGTTTAGCATCAGACCAGGTGTAGCCCAGACAGCAGCAGGATCACCACAAGGGGTTCCCACCAGTGGAGTGTGTGTCCTGTTGTGTCCCTGGGTGGGTGGTTGGCAGCGGGGATCGAACCTGTGATCTCTGAATCTGAAAGCCTGAGCTAAAAGAGCTCACCACCGCTTGTGTAGGTTTGGGTGCCACACAGGATTAGGAGAACATCCCTTTAAATAGCTTGTGAGCCCACTAGGGGTGCTCACTGTGTTGTAGGGGCTTCCCTAGGCCAGCTGGTGTAGTAGGATGTACATAGCCAGGCCTTGTATCTCCATAAACATGGGCAGATGGTCCCCATGGTGCCTGTGTGGCTTCTGCGTAGGGGGTTGGTGCTGGGTGAAGCGCGAAAGACCCAACACCTGCAGCCTGCTCCACTGGCACAGCCAGGATCACCTCCACTCGCATGCCAGCTCATAGACCTTCTCCCTGGAGTATTTTGAAGGGTACCAGCTACGGGCTCTACCCTGAGGGTGGGGAGTTGTGCTGGCCCATTCCACCCTTCTGCTCTCTCTCCAAGCCGAAGATGAACGTGGTGCATGCTTTGCGCTCGGAGCGCCGGGCTGGGCCGGGAGTGGAGGCGATGGAGCGGCCGAACCTGCGGGCAGTGGATCAGCTGAGCCCGGAGATCAAGGTGGAGAAATACGTCCTGCTGAGCCTCGATGGAAAGCTGCTGGGGCCAGAACTGAGCCGGATCCGGAGTGGTAGGGCCTCAAGGGGGGAATTTGGGCCTTGACCCTGCTGGGGCCCAGTGGATCCTGTATTGTCTCTGAGGATGAGCAGCCTTCACCTCTTAGGGACCCTGTGACCCCAAGTGCCTGCCAAGATTTGAGCCGAAAAGAGACCGACCCTGTCCCTGAGAGCACCCAGCCTAGGCAGACCAGGGGTGGGAAGGGAACCAGCAGCTCAGAGGTGAAGTAAGTTTTTCCCAGTTCATAGAGCCAGGAAGAGATCCCTGAGTCCCAGGCAACCCCCAAGGAGAAGCTTAGAAGTGTCTCGGTCGAAGATGACCATGGTGCTCCGTCCAGCTTAGCTCTGCAGTGTTGCTCCCATCAGACCATTGGCCTGTGGTTTCACCAGGGCCCCAGCCCGGCACAGCTCCCCTTCTTCGACTGGGGCACCACATACCTTCCTGCCCCTGGCCGGGCCCAGTGCCTGGGGCAGGGTGTCAGCACACAAGCCTCCTTTCACTGTGACTTGGTGCAGAGGGTCTGGAATCCCAGACGCTCGAGTGTCATCAGTGACTTGAGCCTCTCCGTTTTCCTTCACCCACATGGGGGGGTGCTGCTTGCCCAGCTCTCTGACCAAAAGGCTGGTGGAGTCGGTGGCAGGACTCGTTTCAGAGCCAGTGCAAGCGCATTAGCTTTAGGGCACTTTCCCATGGTGGCCCTGGGCCAGCATTACTGGGCTGACACCTCCCTGTCCTCTCCATGCTCAGAGATGGCTCTGCCCCTGGAGCGCCTGGATGTGGAGCTGCCCCAGGATCTGCCCAAAGGCTACCTCTCGCGCCAGCGTCGCTCCCTGCCTGCCTTCCCTTTCTCTCCTGCCAAGAGCCCCTGCAACTCTCCAGGCCTCAGGTAACTATGGGATATTGGCTGCTCCTACTAGACCTGGCATGCAATATAGCCTGTTGCCTTGCCTTGACCCAGGAGATACAGCCTGGGGAAACTGACTCCCAGCATGCAGTGCTTCCCCTTGAGCTGAGCAGTCAGCCATTTGGCATTGCAGTGGCCTATTAATTATTTAGTAGGCACAGAGCCCCAGCCGTGGACCAGTTGTCCGTCGTGCTAGGCACTGTACAAACAGTCCTTGTTCCAAGGAGCTGACAATCTAAGGAAACTCATAATCACTCAGATGCCACTAGGCTGCATGCTGTGACCATGCAGAACTCCATGAAGCTGAAACTTGGAGCCCCCTTGCTCCAGAAGGCCCTGTCACTTGAGCTCGAGGAGAATCTCCATTAGCTGTTTGCTATATTACACAGCAGAGCAGTTCTGGGCCCATCCAGTAGGAGGTGGTGTCTATTCTGGAAGCTGTGTCCCTTAGCGCTTTGGGGAGGGCAGGCTGACACTTCTTTCTCTTCCAGGAGCCCCAGGAGGAGCACAGAAGCACTGTGTGCTGGCCACTTCCCCTTGGGGCTCAGTCAGCTTGTGACAGGGATGCAGAGTCCTGGGGTGCGAGCCCCTGTGTTGGCCTCTCCTCGGGGCGCAAGAAATCCATCTGCACAACCCAGCGTTTCCCCAGCCAAGGTCACTGGCAGCAAGACCAAGGCAGGTGAAGGCCTATGCCACAGCCATGGGCCCCGGATGCAGCCGGAGTCTGACAGGAAGCAGCAACAGACAATGGGTGGAAAAGGGGCCTGCTAGGAATGACTGGTGGGGCAGGGGGTGGTGGAGGGGACATGAGTCCTGCTCCTGGCTGGGCAGGACTTGTATCCTCTGGGAATTGCTGGTGTCTCAGGGAGGGGGTGGAACTGTACTCGAGAGCCAACTGTTTTACAAACCCAGCAGGGGCCGTGAGTCCTCCAGGCACAAAGGGCCTGGCTGCACCCAGCCCTGCTCCCCTCTGCAGTTAATGTTGTAACCAAAGAAATCCTAAATAAAAGACACTCTGCACTGTGAAGGCTCCTGGGGGCTCGTCCTTGTTCCAGGGAACTGCTTTAACTCAACCTCCCGCTGGCAAGAGCAGGGGCCAGGCCCTCTATTGACAACAAGGCCAGCTCTGTGCCTTGAATACTGGGTGTTACAATAGCACTGATGGACCCAAACAGATGTGGGGGGACAATGACACTGTGCTGGGCACTGTACAGACAGTGAGACTGTCCCTGACCTGAAGAACCTCAGTCTAGAGAGACCAGTGGTGCAGGATGGGAGATTCTTCCCATTTTACATGGGGGAAAATGTGGCACAGGGAGTTAGTGGCAGAGCTGGGACTTGGACCCAGGTGTCCTGAGCCCTAGGCTGGTGTTTGAACCGGGGGGGGGGGGAGGGGGCTCTACCTTCTGTTGGCTTCCCACCCCAGCTCTGGAATGTTTAAATCCAAACCACTTTGTTGTGTTAAAATAAACCATTAAGACCGTTCTATTCCTATTCCATAGAACAGCTCTCTTCCCTCCTTCACCTGCTACTAGAACCTTGACTGGTGGGTGTAAACTAGGCTTCCACTCAGCTTCTGGTTAATTAAGGGATGTCTTACAGGTACCAGCAAGCTAGTAATTAGCTTTCCCCTGGCTAATGGCACTTACCGCACTAGAGGGAGCCAAATGAGTGACTCCAGGATGTGAGCAAATATATTTCAATGTAATTGATGCTCCCCAGGGGGCACCCCACAGTTTTGGGGGTAGTATCTCCCCATCACCTGCTAGCAGGCAAAGTCTTATCTGTGGATCAGCTCCCTGAAACCACCAGCCTCTGGCAACCCAAGCATGGCTTCACAGGCCTTGCTTTCTATGGACAGGTTAGCAGCTGCTTCACCCTAGCCACTGCATCCTTGGAGTTTGTCCCCTGTAATGTCCAGCCCTGTTCTACTAGATTCGCGCCCCCTCCCCCCAGAATGACCAGGCCTGCTGTTCCCAAAGGAATAATACACAGCAGCTTGTTGGATTCCATTCAGCATCACCACTTTGCTTAACGCCCCAGCACTTAGCCTTGTTTTCACTATAAATGCATCTAACATAACCAAAGAACAGTGGCTGAAGGAGGATATTGGAAACAGTGGTTACATACAAAACAATGACAGGTTTCAGAGGAACAGCCGTGTTAGTCTGTATTCGCAAAAAGAAAAGGAGTACTTGTGGCACCTTAGAGACTAACCCATTTATTTGAGCATGAGCTTTCGTGAGCCACAGCTCACTTCATCAGATGTGTACCGTGGAAACTGCAGTTTCCACGGTACACATCTGATGAAGTGAGCTGTGGCTCACGAAAGCTCATGCTCAAATAAATGGGTTAGTCTCTAAGGTGCCACAAGTACTCCTTTTCTTTATACAAAACAATAACATCCTCTAGAGACCGCACTTAACTAGCGGGTTAACCACCTCTCTAAAGATGCTCGTCTCGTCCAAAGTCCTCACCAGTGTTTTCAATCAAATCTGGTTGAAGGCCATTTGTTCATGGAGAAAGTTTGCTGTCTGGCTCCTCTGGAGGGTGACGGGGTGTGTCTTTGTCCTCCAACTATATTCAAATGAACTTTGATGTGCGCATCAAGCTAGGGTTCCCCTGACCTGCTGTCTTTCTGGTTAGTTTCTTTCTGAAGTCCCCACTGACTCTTCATTAGCTATTTGACTTGGAGTGCTACTGGTTGCCCATTAGAGATCAGGTGGGTGAGGGATCTTTTATTGGACCAACTTCTGACAGTGAAAGAGACAAGCTTTTGAGCTTACACAAACTGCTCTTCAGGTCTGGGAAAGGTACTCTGCATCATCGCTAAATACAAGATGGAACAGATTGGCTAGCATAAGTAGCTAACATATTCTAAGACCCGGGTCAAACTGAAGTGACCAGCTAACACCTCTGCAGTCACTGGACCCCCTGGCCCCCCCCCCCAAAAGGGGGGATGGTTAATGGATTACAGATTGTTGTAATGAGCCATAAATCCAGTGTCTTTAAGTCCTTGATTTGTAGTTTCTAGCAAAGTTATGAATTTAAGCTCATCTTTTGAAGGACAGGCCTTTGAGGACAAGGCCTCAGAGGTGAGATATGGAGTGATTGCTCTGTGACCAGGGTTCACCCACAGGTGATGTGGGGTTTGTGTCTTTTATTGCTCCTCTGTGCGAGTTTGTTTCAGAACATTGTGATTGTCTTGTTTCACCCATGTTGGGGCATTTTGTGCACTGGGTGAGGTATGTTGCATGTTAAGGTAGGCATGTGTAGGAGCCATAGATCTCGAAAGGTGTGTTTGGGGGCCGGGGGATTGATCATCCTAGCAGTGGAGATAGGGCTGCAGGTTTTGCATCTGTTCTGGCAGGGTCTGGTGCTGCTTTGAGTTGGGGGGCAGGGGTGGGTCCTGGTCTGTGCAGAGATTGCTTCTGGTGAGGAGGCTGGGGGGAGGTGTTTGAAGGCCAGAAGAGCGGGTGTGGGAAAGATTTCTTTCAGAATGTGGTTCTCATTGAGTATGGGTTGTAATGGTTTAATGATACCCTGTATGGGCTCCAGTGTGGGGTGGTAGGTGACAACTAGGCATGTGAGGACCTCCTGAAAGAGTTCTGGGTATGAGCCTGAAAGCTTGTCTCCTCAACAGACATGGGTCCAATGGAAGGTGTTACCTCCCCCACCTTGTCTTTCTAACATATTTTCTATTAGAGACCTCCCATGACGCTCTGTAAATACCAGGCTCTGGAGTCTTGTAACCCTTATGCCCTCTACTGATTGGCACCAGGAGGTCTGGGTCAGGCAACCTCCAAAGAAAATACAAGGGAGAGTCACAGCAACCTACCCCCCTCTCCCCTGCTAGTGGCTCTGGGGAGATCTGTGTTCTAGTCCAGCTTTGCCACTGACCTGTTTAGTGACCTCGGGCAATCGCTCTGTGCCTCAGTTTCCCCTCCCACCCTGTGTCTATTTAGATTGTGAGCTCTTCAGAGTAGGACTATTTCTCACTGTCTGTGCAGCACCTGGCACAAGGGGCCCCCGGTCATGGTTGGGGCCTCTAGGTTCTAAGATGATATAAATACTAAATGTGGTGCGAGCTCTCGAGTTGTGCTGGGAGAGCGCTACAAAGCAGTGCCTGAGTGACTGGACTTGGCTGCGCAGAGGAACGCGGCGTGTGCTGCAAAAGGTGCAGGCAGCCTGGTTAGCCAACCAAGATTCAAGCAATAACACACACGTAATAACCCAAGTCTATTCTGATGGTCCCAGAGCCCATGGGTGAATCGCTTGCAGGCGGAGCGGGTGTTCCTGAGGGAAACAGGTTGGGAATCTTTCTGCAAAACTTTTTGGTGGGGATATGGATTCCTCAAACCTGTTCATGACACGGGGCTGCTTTGGATGAATCTCCTGACCGTTGGCAAAAGTTTCCAAGTGTCCATTTTGTGTGGGCATTTTTTCCCTTTAAATATCCAACTCCTGTTTGAAGCGACATTTTGCTTTGAATTCCAACCTAAGCAGACGAGAAACAAAACATTTGGCCTGACCCCTGCCAAGTTTTTTGTTGAGGCTGCAGCAATTTTGATTCAAACTCTTGCAAATACTTGCCTGCCTGGAAAGTTTCCTGCCCAGCTGTAGTTGAGTTTGGGGCAGTGTAGATGGGGGAGCAGATGTTAACATGATGCCCAGGACGCTGCTTATAAGAACTGGGTTTCTTGCGTGGATTAGAAGGGGCAGATCCTCCCAGCTGGCTGTCTCCTCTTTCCGTAGGAAACTGGCTTTATTTTCTCTCTGGGGCTCATATTGCATGTGCAGAATAACTTTGTAGACCTTTTTTTCTCACAAAACAGATTTTTAGTAGCTCCCACTCTGCTGCCAGTTCTTGGGCCTGATCCTCAAGGTTGTTGGGATTTGGGTCCCAGCTACATTAGACCCCATCCTCACCTGTGAACAGCCAGGGGGTTGAGCTCGGCTGGGCTGCTGCAGCTCCTAGAGCCTGCGTGAAGGTCCCTGTGCAGGAAAGAACTTCAGCACTTTTGGCTTCATTGTGTCTTGAGCAGATGCTTTCCTGAGGTGGAGTCACCTGTGGGCAGAAGCAGGCATGAGCTGTGTTCGATGGCAGGGAATCTGGCTTGAGGCAAACGTCCAGAGGAGAGCAGGCCCAGCCACAGTCTGATGGTGTTAGGAGATGCTGGGAAAACTTTGTCTTCAAATAGGCCATTTCTCCCTCAGACTGATATTTGGGCCTAGAGTGACCACCTAGCAAGTGTGAAAAATCAGGGCAGCAGTGGTGAGGTTTATACTTTGCTTATATAAGACAAAGCCCCTAATAGTGGTATGATCCTGATCATATTGGGACATCTGGTCACCCTCCTGAACCCCAGAACTATCCCTCCCCTGAGACAAATCAACCTTTAAAAAAATTATCGTTGAAAAAAGCCCAGCCAGAAATTTCTCTTCTCTTCCTTCTTGGGGGTGGAGGGGAGAGAATTAGCAGAACCTCCATGAAGTCTCCTAGTTCCTTTGCCACTGATTTATGTGGAAAGTGCCCAGAACCTGGGGTGATGGGCAGTTGCATGAAAATCCTGGACTTGATGGGAGTGGCCAGAGTACACCCCTGGTACTTCCTCCAAAGGGAAAAACCGGGTAGAGCCAGAGACTCTATTAACTGTCCCAAACCTTTGTATGTGGATTTAGGGTTGGCCAGTGGGACTGTGCGCCTGTCTGGAACATGGACAGGGGCTAAGTGTGCAGCTTCTCTGCAAAGCCCACGAGGAATCTTGCTATTTCCAATCTACCAAGGATGCATGGGGTGGGTAGCACTAAGCCTGGGGACAGACTAAAGTGGCACCAGGAGCCTGCATGTGGTCTCTAGATGCTACTGTAATAACTCTGACAAAAATAGAATGCATATAAAATTACCAAGTTTTAAAATGTTCTGGCAAATATTTTGAGTAGGGTGAGAGATTCATGTCCCTCTAAGCATGACACTGCTGAACCATGCATTGGGGAGATTCTATACAGGGAA